TTTTTTTTCTGTGAATCATGGGAGGTTTATTTTCCAAGAAGGTATTAACCATGTTCCCTATCAAATGATAAGTAGGTGTAAGGGGATGTGAACCTAATAATTGAAACTGACAGAGGACAGTACGCTCCTATTTGGTATCATATGTCTAACTTGAGCATCTATGCTAATAGGAAAATTATATTTATTTATCTGTAGCTACATCCAGAATTATGTATTTATATCAAACTTCTTTATATATTCTTTTTTATCTTTCTCATTGTTTAAATAAATATTCTTGTAGATATTTATAGTATCCTTGTAGATATTATTTAATTATTTCTACATCTTTGAAAATATTCTAAAAACAATTTACGGTGCCCTTCCCGTAAACGGACAAATTTTTTGGTCCCATGAACGTCCGCTTAAAGGACGTTTCACTGTATATATATATATATATATATGCTTTAACATAAATATGCTTTAACATAAATAACTTTGGTTCAAATCATCCAATCCTGGTTGTGTGTTGTTGAATTACAGTGTTTTTAGAAGGGTGGCCCACCCTCCTTGCTCTTTTTGTAAAAATGTTGTTCCTTCTTTATTCACATAAAAAACGCTTTTATATAATTTTTTTTTATTTTAAGAAAAGAGATTGCAGTTGCAGAAACCAGGAATTTAAGATTACAAAAACTACTAAAATTATTTTTAGACTAAGTTAATATAAAAATTTCATACATTTATTTGAATTTTTTTTTATTTCTCTATAAAACGGCACTAATCTAGCTAAATATAATTAGCAAGCTTTTACACTTTAAAACTGAATATATCCTTGTTTTTGAAAAATCAACCTGCATTTTTAGGAAAATCTCTGGAATTATATGGATATTCTTTTAAATGGTGTTTTCAAGAATTGTCACAATATTCATCAAAGAACATTAATGCTTTAAATATTGAAAGTATAATTAACGGAGATTACAAAATATCGGTATACGAATTTAGAAAACAACTTACATTGTGATCCATATGCCTAAGTAATTGCAATTGATGAAGATATAACATTTGGCGAATTCCATCAAATTCAAAGCTCACTGCATCCTTTACTAACTTTTCAATGATATTTGCTTGAATCTGGAGAGAAAAAAATTCAAAATATTATGCAATTAAAATACGCCAATAAATAAGAGGCTAAAACAATAATTAAGTAGATAATATATGTAATATTTAGAAAATTAACCTTAAATAAAGCAAATTATAAGGACACAAATCATTTTCTTAGACATTTACTCAAAGAAAATGAATCATCACTTAAAAGGTTTTGGAAGTTTTTAACGAATTCTACCTAAATTGCTGCATTAAGACTGAAAATTTTGCATCAAAAGTAACCAAACTCATGGCATGAAGCAAATTTGTAAAATTTTATTTTATTTCATTTATTATTATAATTTTTTTTAAGACAAAGTTTAAAGAAAAAAATCTTTAAAATTTTTTTTTTCTTTTAATTTGATGTCTTAAACATTCCACTATTTCATATTGTTCTTTTTCAAAGTTGTAAATTTGGTTATTGCGAATGCATGCATACCTATACATTATATAGATATATTGTTAAATTATGCATAAAAAATTAGATTTAAAATTTATGTTTGCTCATTACAGTTAAAAGCACAAAATATTATAGAAAATATAAATATTTTTTTTCTGTCCCTGAGAGCTCATCTTTTCCACTATTCGAGTTTTAACAATTGGAATGAAATGTCAGAAATCACTGATATGTAATTTTGCTTTCATGTTATCTTTTTTAAATGAGTTAACAGAAAAAACAAAAGCACAATTAAAATATTTGATCAGCGTAATTTCTCAATATAACAAGCATTCATTAAACAATGTACGATCACATTGCAAGCTTACAAATTGCAGTCCTTTGGTTTGCCACCATTTAAATCAACTTGGACTAAAATAAAATTATTAACAGTGACCCACTGGACCATACATTCATTTGGCTTTACTCTTTTTATTTTGGTGTTCCAATGTTTACATAAGATACTAAATACAAATTTTTTATTTTATCATTATTTATTTTTGATGAAGAAAAAGCCTGAAAAAAATTCTTCAACGAATTTCAAAGGCAAAGAGTTTATACCCTCTAAGATTCATTACGAATATTCTCATACCTGCCAACATTGGAAAAATAAAATAACAGAGATTTTACCAGCAACGTTTTTTAGGCTACGCGTAAAGCTTTGATACATCATGCACAGGGTTGGCAAGTTTTTGACGCATGACGGTTTTTACCATCATGTCAAAAACCCATAGTTTTGGTAAAACTGTATTTTTACTTGAGTTTAACTGCTTATAATTTAAAATTAATTTGATTTTTGGGCAATAAAATTAGAAAAAAAGCTGTTAAAAGATATTTAAGAACAGATTCTTGCATTTTCCCAACATGATTATATCAAAACATACTATTTGAAGTAAAATATTAGGATACTAAACAAAATTTTCAACATTTCCAAGCATCATTTTGTTTGGCATATTACATTACTGAAGAATGTCAAGATTGATTACTTTCATTCATAAAATCTTGCTTTGAGAAACACATGTACACATAAAAAGAAAGCCTCATAAAATAAACTTTTCTTATAAATTTTGCTTTTTCAATATTTTACACAGAAATGAGACATGAAAAAGCCTGGGAAATAATTTTAGAGTTTCCTTGCAACATTGCAATAGCCTTTTGTTATAATTATTCTCAATGACCTCGAATACTCATTATTCTCAAATTTTGGACTCATCCATACTAAACTCAGAAATCGAATGGGCAATGAAAAATGCGCAAAATTAGTCACTTGCTATCGTATGGTTCGGCACAGTGACCCCGACTACTGAACGCGTAATTTTGTTTGTAATTAAGTGTTGTTTAATGTGCTTTTTCAACTGAATAAAAGTTTTTAACTTGACAAAATAGCAGTAATTCTTGACTTAGAGTTTGCTAGTAGTAACAACTTTTGAAAGTTTTGTTCAGCTTATTTCTAATATTTAAGAAATGCCAAATTTTAAATTCTTTTTAGTTTTTGAATTTATTAATAGTTCCAAACTTTTTGTTTGTTTGTTTATTTCTAACAATTAAGAAGTGCAAAATTTTGAATCCTTTGCAAATCAAGCTATAATGGTAAAAGTAAGTATCACTATTTTCAATAAGTATATAACAATATTTCCATATGAATGTATATCCTTCTATAAGAATACATGTATATAGCTGAAAAATCAATAGCAATCATTTACGACATCCATTTATAAAGGCAATTATGTGAAAATAATATATTGTCCGCTATAGGCCATAAATTAAAGAAAACAGTAGGTTTTTGACGGTTTTTACCACTGTCATGTCAAAAACCAGTTTTCGACGGCAAAAACCCAACCCTGATCATGCATAATCATGTAAGTCGAAAAGAGAAATTCAAATTTGGAAATAATATAAGCACTTACATTTAGCAAAGTAAAAAATAGGTATATGAATCTTAATCTAAAGGAGATTTTTTAAAACCATTATTTATAATTACTTAAACTATTAACACTCAACAAGCTGCAGTACTAGCAATAGCACCATCTGTTGAGAAATAAGAGAAGTATTTTTTGCCATCAGTGGATATTTTATCGCCAATTTTTAAAATTTCTTCAACAAATACGGAGAAATGGGAGAATATACAGCTAAACAGAAGATAGTTGTGAAATGCAGGTGTCTTTGATAAAAAAAAAAATAAATAAAAACTTGGCAGGTATGTATTTTATTCAAAATTTTACAAAATATAAATTTTTGTCGATGGAACTTAACATCGGTCAGTTGAATTTTATCCTAATAGTAGATTGCTAGAGCAAAAGTCAAAGCAAGCTCCAAACTTACTTACATTTGTAGACTCATGAACAGTATTATTTTAAAATTGTACTTACAGTTGTTACGTTATGCTCAGAAACTTTTTCTTTTTGATAACTGATTACGAATAAACCCCTTTACTTTGTAAGCTCCCAAGTTTCCAAAAATTGAATTTACAAAGTGACATTTCATTCAGCCAAATTTTTGCCCAAGTAAGAGATCACAAATAAAGTGCAAAGCGGATATCCACGATGTGTGCATTATTATTCAAGGTTCCCACTCTTTTAACAAAACAATTAAGCACTTTTTTTGAAAAAATTAAGTATTTTTTATAAAAATTAAGGACTTTAAAAATAGTATGATTGTTTATCATCGAATATATGTATACTGCCAGTGACAGTGCCAATTATTTACTTTTCTTTAAAAAATATTAAATAAAACAAATAAAAACAACTTAATTATAATGGCACTGATATAATTGCAGGGGTAATTGTGAGCCCAAGTCGAAATTCCGGAAAAATTTCTTTAGTTTTTTTTGAAAAAAAAAAATAATAATTAGAAAAAAAATTTAAACNTTACAAATATGTCTTTCTTTCTTGTGTTTATGATTATAACAACTATTTGCGGATAAAAAATGAATACTAATCATGAATAGAAGCTTATAAAGTATCTCTCTGGCTCTCCTTTACAAACAAATAAAATAAACTGGGTTTTTAAGTTCCATTTCTATTATTCGCCAAAAAAAATTACTACGCATTTCATTCCGCACTATTAGCATATATATAAGAAAACTCTTCAGCACTCAAACGGTTAAGAAATAAGAATAATAGCGTAACAATCAATTTTCATCAAAAACCCAATAAGCCCCAGGTTTTTGATGAGAAACCTAGATTGGCTGGGATTTTTCAAACCCAGTTTTTAACAGATCTGTTTAATTTTTAGTACAATCATGAATTTTAAGGAATGTTACTGTTTTCTATAAATGTACAGTTACTTACAACACTTTGAAAAATTATACAAATTTATTTAATTCTTCAAGATTTTAGGAAATAGTGATTGTTATGGATTTTAGTTCAAAAATATTTTCTGATACTTCTTTTCTTAGCATTTTACTTAATTTCTATCAGGGTGCGTAGCCAAATTTTTCAACAAAGAATAAGCACTTTTCAAGCACTCAAAAAATATTTTTAAGCACTTTGAAAAATAACATAATTAGGCAGGGTTGGCAAGTTTTTGACAATTGATGGTTTTATTCACAATGACAAAAACGATAGAGTGTCACAAACGATGAAATTAACAAGAGAAATGAAATTTTCTATCGCTAATAGAGAGAAATTCTTTTTTTACAATGTTCAATTGTTCCCCGTAATCAGCAAAAAATTCAAGAGATTTTTCGATTCTATTACAGAGGGCGGAAAATGAAGTCTGAAATTGAGAATCTCTTGCAAAATGCAGCAGGGTTACACATGAGAGACGAAAATCCTTACCACTGAATCCAGCTCAGTATACGCAAGTGCGGACCTGCAAGTATTTCATCAAACATGTAAAACAAATAGTGTTTTCATACACTACAGACCGACGGTACGCCGAAATAGATTGGGGTTGAATTAATTGTGAAAACGTTTTCTTTTTTGCATAATTTGTGGCGAAAATCAACATGGTAAAGAAAAATATCACATTTCGGAAAAGGGAAAATTAAGCACTTTTTTAAAACATCCAATGAAAAAAGCACCTTTAAGGGCTTTTAAAAAACGAAAATCAGAAATAAGTACCTTTAAGCACTTTTTAAAAACGCTACACACCCTGTCTATAAGCATAATTGACTTTCTTAAATTATGTCGATTTTGAAGTGTGGGTCTTCTATTTAGGTACCTTAAAGCTAACTCCCCCCCCCCAAAAAGCACTACCTGTTCCATGTGCAGTATCCCCCTTGTCCACACTATTCTTCTAGAATGCTTCACTCTCCTCATAGAGTATCATTCTAGGCAAAAGGCACAATATATTAATGAAAGAACCAATATATTAATGAAAGGACATGCTAATCTATGCAAGGTCAACTTCTAAGTGATAAGAGAACGACATTTTTAAAAAAATTGAACTGCAAAATTTTTCTTATCAAATATAGTGATGCTGAAAAATTAAGGACTTTTAAAAACCTTGTACCAAAATTAAGTACTTTTAAGGGTATTCAGTTTTTATAGACTTTTAAGGACCGTAGGGACTCTGTTCTTCAACCACAACAAGTTAGTACGCTGAAGCTTACCAGAAGAGTTTACTATTTCATAGGTGGGGAAAGTTAAGGTATGCAAAATACAAGCATATTTCTTTTGACAATAATTTAAACAACCATACAATTTTGATTAGCTGGTTCACAGAGACTTCACCGACAGCAGATTATCCGTAGTTTCAAAAAATATTTTCCCCAGCTGTAAGAAGGATAATGTATTTATATTTTAAAGATTTAGAATTAAAAGAATTTTGTCCATTACTAAATGCAAGTAATCTAAACAAATATATAAGAGATCGTACAGCCGAATATTTAAGTTCCAATAAATTTTTTTCAAAGATCTTTTTGATTAAAAAAAATTCTACTTTAGTTAGGACTGAAAAAAAAAAAGATTTGCAGCAACCTCAAATAGTCGGAGTCTTTGGATTTACTACGATAAAAAGCTCTTCAAATAACTTCCGATTTTTTAAAAAAAATTTCTCTATAATATGCCAAATAAGGCATCTATATTCAATTTCTCCTTTTGGTTAGATTTTTTTTACCTTCCTTCCCTGAATCCATGGATTAAACATGACCGATGCGTTTAATTTGTAATTTGTGATCGAGATCTATATTACTTTTCAAGAAGCATAGAAATCAAAAATGAGGAATTGTATATGCTACCTGTTCAGGTTTCAAAACTGAGCTAGAAGACTCAGCATTACCGTTCTCAGACTTTTGATTATTCTCTTTATCAAGATTCATTTCATTCGGTTTTTCAATTTGCATATACTTCTTAATAGTATCCTTTTCAAGTTTCTTGCTTTTCTTTAACACTGCATTACTCCTTGAGAGCACTTTACATGGTTCATCTGATAAGCCAAGATAATTGAGGTCAGATATTGAGCCACTATGAACATTAAAAGTTGGGTTTTTTTCAGGTTGCTCCTCGACAAGACTGACTAAAGAATCTTTGTTTAGTGTTATCTTACTGGAAAGCAATTCTTTACATGAATTAGTAGGAGCCAAACATGATGCAGAGTTTTTGTTTTTTTTAATCTTCATGGGAGGTAATTCTTTGTTTTGCTTATTCTTGCTGGGAGGTAATTCGTTATTTGAATAGTCAGAAACAGTCACAGATGATGCAGAGTTTTGCTTGATCTTGTTGGAAGTGAGCACTTCATTTGAATCCATTTCAGACCTGACTGTTTCAGAATCCTTTTTTCTTGTTTTTGATACTGTTCCATGGTGAGTTGATCTGCTTTCCTGAATTGCTCCTAATTTTTTCTCACTCTTATAAGAACTTCTACTTCTTGTGGTAACATTAGAAAGTCTAGACAAATCCTTTGACGAAGAAACTTTCTTATTTCCTTTGCGAGTATTGACAGTCGGTTGAAGAATATCTGAAAAGATAAAATACATTATATATAGCAGCATTAATATATTTTCAATAAGAAATCATGTAAAAAATAAGTACTTCTGTTTGACTTAAAAACAAAACTCTATATGAAATCTTATAACTTAGAAATTCTTATTTTTAACTTGTTGTGCGTACATTATTTTGGATAAATAAATAAGAGTGATAAAATAAATTATAAAAATAATATGAGAATTTTTTTCTTCTTTTTAGAGATTAACTGAATTTCAAGTTTCAATTTGCTATTGGGTCAGTTACATGTTTTTTCATTTCTCATTTGACTTTTCATTATCATAAAAAATCTTTAAACATTTTTGGCTGAAGAAACTATTGATATGGATAATAAAAGCAGGCTTCAAAGTGGACGAACATAATTTTTCAAACAAATTAGGACATTTTTTGGACTATTTTTAAAAAGGCAAACAGCTAACTAAAAAGTATAATTTGATCTACATCAGAGTGATAAAAGCAAATTTTACCACAAAAAAATAACAAAATATGAATATTATTTTTAATTTCAGAATTACTTTGATTAGAACAGAAAGTTTTAAAGGTTTTCAGTATAATTTTATCAGCACTGAAAAATTCATAATTTCAAATCAATACATAAAATCTGCCGTGCAATTGAAAAAACAATTTAAGTGCTACACAATACATTTTGAGAAAAGTAGCTTGACAACTGTTCTCTTTCTATTGCTAAAATAGAAAGAGAATCAGATTAGAGATCCAGTTACCAATCAGATTACCAATAAAACAACATTTATTTATGATATATACTTTTTTTACAATTTGTAGCTTATACAAAAATGCCTAAAATATATAAAAATCTCAATTTTGAAATTTCTGTCTCTTATGTTGACTTGTCTATAGCACAGTAGTACTGAGAATTAGTTAATGTTTCCTCTAACCAATATAAAATTAAAATTTGTAATTGAGTTCAAGATTTCCTTAATCAAATAATTTTAAAGTATAGTTTTAAAAATGTCAAAGCAGAAACACAATGAATATGCACCATAACATTTTTGCACAAAAGTAATTTTAGCGGGCAACCCCTCCATTCATCATTTAAAAATTCTGCTATGTATTTTTGAAAGGAATCGATAATTTTTAAAAGGACACCAAGAAGACAATTGCAAATCTACTAAATTATCTTACAAGATTTTTTACTGCATAAGTAAGCATATCCACACCGAAATCCTCATTATAAAAATTTGATAATACAAAATTGTTAATAGTTTCTTTTTCATAGAATTCCCAAAGAGGTTAAAGCAATGAATCCTGTGGGTAATGATAAATATCTGAACCATGTTTAAAATCAGTAGACCAGAGATAGATTTGATATTATAAGAAAAATGGTATTTTCTGAACTCTCAAAAATTAGGGAGATTAAAACTAAAGTTAAAAATCAGCATAAATAAGGACAAAAAAATTTTTTATCAGGGAAATTAACACAACTACAAACTATGTAATAGTGAGGTTATATAGCTTTAGAATTTAAAATATAGTTTCTAATTAAGCTAAGACCTCAGAAATACTTTAAAGTATTATCTGGCATTTGAACAGGTTTTGATGTTCCTGCCTTCTTTAATAGCTATTTCGAAGATTATACACTTTATACAACCTCTTTAATTAGCAGTCTATCATGTGATGAAGTTAAACTATACGTGAAAAATCACAGCAACAGTGATTTGATTTGTTCATTTACGTCGCACTAGAGCTGCACAATGGGCTATTGGGCTGGGAAACATCCCTGAGGATGATCCGAAGACATGCCATCACAATTTTGATCCTCCGCAGAGGGGATGGCACCCCCGCTTCGGTAGCCCGACGACCTGCACGCGAAGTCGAGCACTTTACAGTAGAACAGTGATTAACGAGGCCCAATACCGCACACCCTCGGTCCCTATGCAGACTGATCCAAGTGGTCACCCACCCGCAGTCAGTGATGCTTGACTTCGGTGATCTGTTGGGAACCGTGTCTTAACGATCAGTTCACTGCGGCACCACAGCAACAGTGAAAACATCTATTTAAAATGTATAATATGGAATAGTTTGAGTGTTAATTCAGGTGTCTAGGTGCAGCTATGAAAAAGCTCTAGATGGATTTCACAGAACATACATAATGAATATAGACTTGAAAGAATTTAGACATTTTCAAAAACTAAATAAAAAAATATTTGAGACCTGACACTTTATTTATGGAGGGCGATTCATCTTTACACAATGGAATGGAAGAGTTCTTTTCTTCCACCTAAAATAAAATAAATATAAAGATTATTAGAGTTGCAGGAAAATAAAAAGAACTCATATCCATTAGCTTAATTCAAGATTAATAATATGTTTCTAAAGCCTGGGGAAAACGTTTTAGGTTATTGACAGCTATTGAAAGTGTTACTTCCTTCCAATATGCAATTAAAAGAATATAGGTTGACGTAAAGACTGAAAAATTACAACTTAGTGCAGTTATACAAAATTGTTTTCAAAACCCTAAGAACTCAAATAACCTTTTCGGGAACGTGTAATAAATTTGAATCAATTAAACAGAGGCTTAACTTTTTGTACATTTGATTAAAAAAAATTTTAACTAATAGAAAAAACTAATGGAAAGTTAACAAAAGAGGTCAGAATTATTAAATTTACGCGATGAAAGTGAGGATCACTAATAATAGTGTGAGAAGCAATGAAGATTGAATTAGGGTGTGTAGCCAAACCTTTCAACAAAAAAATTAGTATCTTTTAAGTACTTTTTAAGCAATCAAAAAATATTTTTAAGTACTATATGCATTAACAAAATAATTTTCGAAGACTTTACATGATCATGATAAAATGACTAGTTTCTGACAAAGAACTTATTTTTTGATTATATTAGCAAGCATAAAAAGTCTAGCATAATTTTTCGATTCGATTTCAGAGGGTGGAAGATGTAGCCTAAAATTGAGAATATCTTATAAAATACAGCAGAAGAGTTGCACATGAAAGTGCAAGAATCTCAACGAGCCCAGCTAAGTAGACGCCATTGCAGACTCGCAAAGGCAAATATTTCATCAAACATGTAAAATGACTGCAGTTTTCCAACGCTACGCACTAATGGTATGCCAAAATGGATTGTGAAAACGTTGAATAGAACAAAGAGAAAACCTCACTTTTGCCATGATACGGGGTGAAAATCGACATGCTAAAGAGGAAAAAAACTTGTGCTCAAAAAGGGAATATTAAGTACTTTTTTTTAAAAAAAAACTAATGAAAAAAGCACCTTTAAGGACTTCTAAAAAACGAAAATAAGCACTTTTTAAATACGCTACGCACCATGTTGAATGCATTGACATAAAATGTGTGAATTCACTTCTTATATCAAATGCATAGCAGACAACATAGATAGGAAAAATTAAGTAGATATTACAAAAGAATATAAATTTCAGGTTAATTGTTATACTAAATATTTTACATATAGGGAATTTTATGGGTTTTTATTTTCATCAAAGTACAAAAACCTTATTACAGTAATGACTATAAATGGTCTGCAATATTTTCCATTAATGATTGACATTATTAAATTAATTTGGTTTTGAATAGTAATAGACAAGTAATTTGTTATCGATTCTTAGAAGATTTTTGACTATAGTTATTTTAATTAAGAAATTTAATGCATTTATTTATGTTTCTTTTTAGTTTTCATGAACTACACAGCTTTGGAATTAATTATAACTCGATTTATAAAATAAACGAGAGCGCAATTACATCCTGATTTAAAAATTGATTTAACACGTCATTGAAAACGAGTTTCTTCCACTAGAATTGGAAGGAACCAATTTCTTTCTGGGGTGGTTTTTTTTCCAGTGTGGAAGAAAATTGCCATCCCTGAAAATAGAATCCCTGAAATTACCTCAGAATTCAAATTCTTTCCAATTGCATCATAAGGTTCTTGCCACAGACTTAAATAATCAGAGTCTTTTTCATCATTCAAAGCATCATTAAATGAAGAATTACCTCTAATAGGGGAAAACTCATCTGAAAAATATTTAAATTTAAATTAAAAAGACAAAAAAGAAACACATTTAACAAATACATATGATTATGAGAAAAAAAATTATAAAATGGAATTTTCACAAAAAAATGTTTCTTCTTTTTTTTGCATTTCAAATGCATATAAACAATTATAAAATTAAATATTAATAGAAATAGTTGATGTAGTTAACATAGTAAAAATCTGGAAGCTTAGTCTGAGAGATTAAACAATTTCTTATAATTAACTGTCAAGTAAGTATTGAACCATGGGATAAACAAAAAACTTATAACTAATAAAAGTTCCAAAACTGACTAATTTAGAAAAATGGAAGCATATTTAATTAATACAGCAGTGCACAATCAATTTTGTTCTGTAAGAGCAAGAATATTCCTATAAGTGAAGAATTATTACTAGAAAAATTTGAGAATTACTACTAGTTGAAAAAATCACTAATTTTAATTGTACAGCGTATATTTACAACTAGATAAATACTATTCGTGTTTAAGTATTTCAGTAAATCTAATAATTTTAAAAATCCTGAAATTTAAAAAAATTAACTGCCAATAAATTTTTCTTTTTTATTAATGTGGAAAAATTTCAAAATTTTTAAAAGTATTAAGAAAAAAAAATTATTGAAAAATATGTTACTGTACATAAATCTTTCGCGCATGGAAAATGATAATTACATCGTCTGCATAAAATTAAATAATTGTTTTGAACAGTTTTTACAACTTATTTTATTTGATACATCAAAGCAGACGCTATTAATTGATATACCTTTTACGTGTATTTAGTTGGCGTAGCTAGTGGGGGCAAAAGAGGACATGCTTCCTCAGGTGCAGTCTTAGAGATGTGGCAAATTTATGAAAAATAAATAAAAATGAATTCCACAATAAAAAAAATTTTCACTTGAAATACCCCTCAGTTTTCTTCCAATAACTACTTCCATTTTTTCCCCATTTGCCTTAAAATTAAATAGGATATACATTATTATTGTAGTTTGCTTTGCATGTACATTTATTATTTTTAAAATAAATTTTTGCAAATAGGTGAAACAATGAGAAACTATAAAGCCACACGATTCAAACAAAAATAATAAACATCTAAGTGTAAAAGAAACAATATTAATAACATTTACTGTTCAATTTTAAAATAAATCGAATGAACATTTTTAGGTGGATTTAAAGATCTGAAATCTTATCCAATGTGAAATTTAGTTAATGAATTTAGTTTTACAAAATCTAAACTTATTACAGTCCTAAAAAGTCTCTGTAAGCCTCACATATCAATATAAAAATATTATGCATGTCAAGAGAAGTAGGAACGCTGTAAGCCCCAACTACTCCTTTGCTTATACAGTCAGACCTTGATATAAGATCATTCGCATATAAGGTCACCCCGCATATAAAGTCACTTTTCCAAAGTTAAAAATTATTGACTTAAATATTTAATTTATGGCCAATTGTTTTAGTTTGTATTACCATTTTTAAAAAGTCATAACATGTACTATTTACGTGCTTAGTTACGAACTTCTAATGAATCGGTTAAAAGGTCACCCCGCTTATAAGGTCACTCATCTGAATGTTTATGACAGCCCTTCATCAAGCATTTGTGCTAACCTAAGTATAGGTATGTGCTTAAACTCAAAAATGGCTTTTGAATACAGACCTGAGTTGCTTTCCTCAAAAAACAAAAATAAATAATTATAGAATATTCTGAAGAAGAAAAAAAGTACTTTAAAATAAATACATACACTTTTTAAGCTCTTCTAAGCAAAATGATTGTTTGAAATGATTTAAATGGAGTTAAGTTGTTTCGCCAAAAATCAAAATGCTTTCCTTAAAAAAATAAAATAAAAAACTTATAAGGACAGCACAGTTAGGCAGATTTTATTAGGTTGCTGTAGGGGTGCACAACCTTTTTGAGTGTAGGGCACTTGCATAGCAGATTGACCAACTAATGCATATTTAGTCATGTTAGTGGCAAATATGATAATTTTTATCTTAAAATTGGTGGTCTGAACAATAAATTAAATATTTTAATCAGTAAACTTAGTAACATATTACCCAAAAATTAAAGACTTTTAATTATTAAAATTCAACTAATATTTTTCTATTTGCCTTTTCTTTAATCAATATATATATATACGAACAATATATACATATATGCACTCTTTTTTGCGGATATAATCGTGTGGGCTGATGAAAAGATTATATCTTTTATTTTCAATTTTTTTTTAAAAAATTTCATCCTTTCTTTTTAATCAGTTTTTTGTTATTTTTTCATTATTATTTCCCCCCCCCCTTTTGCATATGTCTATTATTTTCCTTTGTTTTATCTTCATTTTAAACTTATCTAATGAGTTCTGTTTACTTGCAGCTTATGCGCAATAANCATTAAACATTAATTTAACAAGAAAAAATTAATTTTTTAGCGTTTATTTCTTAAATATAATCGGGACACAATTATTAAAATGCATTTGAAACAATATTTACATGTGTTTTTTAGTAAAATATGTACTAATTTAAGAAGTACACGCACTTTACCTCACTCTGGGAGAAAGTGAGTATATCAAAACATGTTCTTTTGAATGCATTACTGTAAGAAAACAGTTAAACAAAATAAATAAGTTATGCTTCATATTTAATCTATATGAATGTATATAAAATGCATCAAAATTTTCAGTAGAATAAATTAAATTTTTTGGCTTTCCAGCCTTCTTTAACAAGACTTGATTTTATAGCCACCTGATCCTATCACAACCCAGGGGTCTGCCTATTTCTGAGAGGTACCTATTTCGTGAAAATTTTGACCCAATTTGCAAAAATTAAAAATGAGATAAAAAATCAACACAAAAACATGGATTTATCGTTTCTTACAGGATACAAAAATAAAATTGTAAGAAAAAGTATTTTGTGAAGCTACCGTGTTTCCTAAAGTTGAATTTGTGAAGGTACCGCTAAACAGTAGCAAATTTGGCCTGCACAGACCCCTGTGACAACTATTATATATAACAGATTTTATTCCCAATAACAAATTAATTTTCATAATCAAACAACAGCTACTTCAAAGCCACTATCAATTAATTAAAATTAGGCAGGACTTCAATGCACAAATTCAAAAGTTTCTTTCATTTCTTCTAGAAGAAATCCCGTCCCAAATAAAAAACAGTAAAACTTATTTTCATGATAAATAGTAACATGAAAAAATTTGTAAACAACTTTGAAATAAAAACAAAATCTTCACAACACATGAAAGAAATAATTAGAAATGAATTTTGTCCTCCCTTTCAGAAAACAAAAAGCATATCCAAATACTGAACTTTGAACAATAAACAAGTTATAGAATCACCTGCTCCATAGCTGGCCCGCCACATATTTTACAAATTTTTTAAATTACCCGCTTAGATCAAATCTCAGATCGATAGTTAAAAAAACAAACAGTCATATGGCCCTGTAGTGACGTAGATTTTCGCCTAAGATTAGAAGGAAGTGAAGGTCCTATCTTCCCGGTGGCAACAAAATTCCAAGAACTTATCCTCTTTCAGGTTTACCTTAGTCGAGTGGTTTATCCCATTATTGGCGAATCTTCAGTGAGCGCAAAAATCTGAAATTTTTTGCCCTGTCTATGATTGGACAGATTTATTACTGTCTCTAGGCTTTAGAACATCTTACGTCGAAGTATCTTGCACACGTGACTGTAATTAACGATGTACTATTTCTTAACTTGGAACTTTTAAATAGATTCGCAGTTGCACAAAGATATTATTTAGTCTTACTCAATTAAGTCATTTTATTATGATATTGAACACAATAAGATTATATTACTTCACCATTTATGTCTTTTAAAATCACATTAAAAGGTGAATTTTATTAAACATGATTTTAACATTCATATCGCTTGATTGTTATCGTTAAAAAAATTTAAAAATGATGTTAAAATAAATTTAGACTATCATTTAACAAACATTGAAGATGTTTGTTAATTAAGCTCTTAGAAAAACAGTTGTTTATTCATTTATTTTTTTTTAAGGGAAAATATTTATTTTCAGGAAATATTTGCTAGGCAAAAGTATTAATGTTTCATTTTGCTATAAAATTTAACTACGTCAACTTCTCTCAATAGAGTAAAAATCTAAAACACATTATAAATTAATGAAGATTTTTAAAAATAATAAGTGAAAGAAATTAAAAAAACAACATAATTTTTAAAAGATTTAACTCTGTAAAGCGCTGTAGGCAAGAAAACTTGATTGCGCATA